ATTTAATGGTCATGAAAATGTACAGATGGCATGTAGTCTATTTTTTGTCTGACAAAAGGCAGTTTCCAGACAAATGAGTAATAGAATAATATAATTGGCTGCATCTAAACCAAGCGAACAGAAAACTTTTCAAGACTCGCCATATTGCTTCTGATCTTAGAACACGTGTAATCTGTTGATTTTAAGGCTGAAAGTTGCTCCTGTGAAAATTACCCATGGAGAAAAAACTACTGTGCGAAGAAAATCTAATACAACGATGTTTAAGCTGGCAGCCGCTTATTTCGCAAGAGGAAAACAGGAGTCGTGAGTTAGCCAAGAAATTTAACGTTGGAGAGTCCAGTGTACATGAATAGAGGAAAGAAGAAACGCTTCTAAAATGTTTACACTAGAAGAAACGTGCAATGAAGTACAGGAGACGTTTCTGGCCAGAGCTCGAAAAAGCACTTCTCGAATGGGTTCTTTCAGAAAGATCTAAAAAAAATATGAGGTGTCAACAGCCAAAATAATTATTTGAGGGCAAAAGTAGTTGCAGTAGAAACAAATAGAAAATGTTTAAGCCTACCTATCATGGGCTTTTAGATATATGAAACAGAACAGTTTATGTATTCATCTATGAGTGATGGCCAAAAACTGCCAGATGGCTGTGAAGTGAAAGAAAAAAAACTTAGAGTTCTCGTTAAGGAGAATTTGTTTGGTATGGACCCTGCACATTTTGGCAATATGGGCCCATTAGCGTTGATCACCCTGGTTCAAAGACTGTTACTTTAAAACGATAAAAGGAAGTTTCCGTAGCCACGACCGGACATGAGTCGAGTGTGACTTCCGATGGTGGGAAGTTTTCATCCTTAGTTGTATTTAAGAGGAAAACAGTGCCTAAAGGGAACTTTTCAAAAGTCATTTTAATTGCTGTGAATGAGATGGGATGGGCAATTAAAAAATAATGATAGTGTGCGTTGAAAATGTTTTGCGAAAAAGAAAACAATCCTTTTTCGATCCAAAATCCGTGCTAATAATAGGCTCTTGTCATGCGTATATTACCGATAACGTGGAAGGGTTAGTAGGCAAGTATTCAAAATTGGCAATTATTCCGGATGGATTATCAGAAAAGATTCAACCGCTTGATTTATCCGTTAATAAATCTTTTAAGCCAAAGTTGCGTTCCAGATGGGAGAAGTGGATAGTAACTGGAATTAAAGACTATGGCAAATCGGCAAAGATTAAAAGGATAACATATCGAGAAATTTGCAGTTGGATCGCTGAAACTTTACAAGATGCTACGGTGTCCTGTGTAAAAAAATGATTTTTAAAAGCATTAGGCGATGCACTAGATAGTACAACGCTTGACACAAAAGATGACGAAGGGTTAATTTCAGAAAACGAACTAAGTTATGTCCTGAAGAAACTGTAAACGTTCTTAACTCATTTTACGTAGGTTCGGATAAAGAGTTCATGACTTTGAGTGACTTTATTGTAATACGTATTTGTGTAAAATAAATGTTATTTCATATTTTCTCATTTTGTCATATTAGCCCTTACATTCACTATTATTGCAATATATACATGGTTCGAGACTAATTTATTTTAGCAATATACGCAGTTTGAACCGCGTATATAGGTATCTTGAAATAATTTGGAATGTCTTCGTTTTCCATTGCATAACGCGGAATGTTGTTTTTAAGTTGACTGGACTTTTTTGTACAGATAACGCGCGCGTTATCGATGGGAAAACACAGTAATGTGAACGATAGTGCAGCAGCATTGGAGAAAACTCTATACCTCTTAATGTGGAATCTCTCTTGGACCAGTTTGAAAAATTCAGTCTCACAAGACGTTGGCAGGAGGCAGGAGAACGCATCACAGAATGTTGGTCAGGCTTTGACAAAATGTCAGACATGTCGGTTTCGTTTTGCAGGTTGTTGCACGCCAGCGAATGTTTCATCTTCTTCAGGATGACGTAATGAATCCGTCGCCACCTTCATTCGCAGTGCAACTTACAACGATAGCGCAGTCTAGTAAAACATTCTAAAATATATTT